CCACAAGTACCAAGGGCTACAGCTGTGCCACTGCCTAAAATTCAGCAGGATCCACAGAGCTTGTTAGAGCATTATTAACAGAAACGGAGGCACTTGGTAGGGAAGCCAGTCTCACAAGGTGCTTTGTGGAAAGAGCTACTTTTCCAAAGCTATCTTATCTGAGAGAGGTAAAGTAAGCTAAAAATCTGCACTGAAACCCACAGTTTGCAGCTCCTGCAGAAAGCCAGACTCACACAGCTGATGAGCAGGGAGCACCAGCTTCTCTGGCAGATCCTGTGCTAGGGAGAAAATAGAAAGCAGCTCTCAAAGAGCAGCAAACAAAGCTCTCATCAGACGGGCAGCAAACGCCTTCAGCAGTCAGCTTGAACAATCCCAGGCCCTGCCTGTTAGCAGTGCTAAGCATGCTTCCCACAGGAAGCACTCTCACTATGGGAGAACTGCTGTGTTCCTTACAGGGTCATTAAGTGGTTCTAAACATTTATGAACTGCACTCCACTCCTACCAACCGATGGGAGGCAGCTTTCAGTTCTGCATTTTCTGCTACAGGAAATTAAGAGAACAGATATGGAGCAGGAGCTCCTACCTGAGCAAAGCAGTGCCACACACAGAAAGAGATGTGAACTCATCATCTCCTCACTGCTGCACCCCCAATGTCCATAATGCTCTTTCCTAACTTCGCCTTTGTCCTGTTAGCAGCAATGATCCTGGCTCCAGATGGGTCACTGCTACAACCTGCAGCTTCTTTCATGTTTTCACACCCAGGTGTTTGTTCATAAAGCAATTCGCTTCAAAAGCTTCAGAAAATAATAAGCACAGAAAACCAAACCCTAGGAAAGCAGGGGCTGTGTTTGTACCCACATGTCTGAGTTCCAGTGACAAATGTTTTTCTTCTTTAGGGAAGAACAAAAACCTCCAGAGCCACAGAAGCTCAGGACCCAAGTTTAAATTTTATTGAAAATAATTTCAAAAGCCATAGTAACAAGATTACTTCATAGTACAAATATAGATTTAAGTGCACAAACTAATTACAAATCTAGTCATGATTACTGTACATTAGTAGAATGTTTCTCTTGGCTACCCCTCTTGTGAATGAAATGGAATGAAAGCATTAGGAAGAAACAACAAAAGAATCTGCACACAAGATGTGAAAGGGGCTCTTTGTAACATAGTTGTTCTAACAGGCAAAAACAAACGGCAGGACTAGAAGCTTTGAGAAGTTTGGTTCTCCCATATCTGCTTACACTTCCATCATGTGGTCGTGGCATATTAACCAAGCCCAGATACCAGAACCCTCCCAAATGTTCTGCTTGTCCTTAAATTCCGAGGTGCAGGGACTCACAGAATAGCTGGTTAGAAAGCAAAGATCACTTCCAGGTTGCAAAGCCCAGCGGGTTGACTTGAGACATCAACAAGCACTTGGATAGAAGCAAATCCAGGTGGAAAGAACCTCAATCAGCATCCGTGGACTTATAGTGATCATCATCCACAGTAGAGTAGATGTGTCCCTCACTGCTAAGGAATTCAACTGCTTGCCTTTGAAGAAAAAAAGGCAATTAGTACCAATTAGTACCTAGTTCACATTGATGCCCTTCTCTCAACCATTTCCCACCCACAGCCTGATGTCCCCACCGTTCCTTTCTGGCATCTGCCAAAAGATGCACCCAGAGATGCATCCCATCAGCATTTAAACAAGTGCTGCTCCATTGTCAACACAAACATAAAAGTGTTTCCAAGGCTTTATCATTTCAACAAACTCATTCTAAGCTGTTTCACTAAAGAATTCAAGAACTCAGGTTGACCATTGCATCCTGTGGGGACACATTGAATCACCAAACACTGTTAAAAAAATAAGCCAGCATCCGGCCTTGCCCACTTCTTTCCTCTTTGTCTACTTTCAGCAGATTCCAGAAAGGACTGTGTAGACTGGAAGCAAATCCTTCATTTCTACACACTTACTTGATTGTTGGTATGCTGACATTGTGGAGCTGAAGTTTCAGCTCTTGAAGACTCATACCTTCTGGAGAATGGCAGTTTTTAATCAGGTTCAGCACCTGGAAGAACATCAACCAGCATCAGCAACAGCAAGGCTCTATCAACACTGAACAGGCCAAAAAAAAAAACAATTACCAGCCTTCTGAGAATAACCAAGCTTTTATTTCTTTGTCCCAACTCACACTGCAGCAGCACCCACTGGGACACCCGTGCTCCTGGCTTGAAGATGCTGGCACCCACCTGACTCTGATGTGCTGTGAGTCCATTCACAGGCAGGCTGCCTCCACCGTAGCTCCCCACGTCACTCATTCCAGCAGAGGTAAATGACTGAGGTGCTCTTGATGCTGACTGCAATTGCAAGGGTAAAAGAACTGCAGCTGCACAGGCTGCTGCAAACCCAAGGCATGAAAGGCTCTGCCTAATTACTCCCATACAGTAATTAAAGACAGATTTCCAAGAGAAATCAAGTAGAACTGGCTACAACAGAATGTCTCTCGAAGGAATTCAAGACTCACAGCACGCCCCCACTGCAGCCCTTCAAACTCCAGGCTTTGCAGACCCACAACTTACACACAATTTCCCACTGAACCCAGAGATCTCCTTGGGAGATGACCAGTAACACCCAGCAACAGCTGTGATGGAACCACACCCCCAGCTACATACCAGCAGGTTTTTTCTGAGGATCATATGTGCATTGACAGTCTCAAGTATGTGCGTGGTGAACTCGTTCATGTTTTCCAAAGGCATGATCTTAAATGCCACCAAACTTTTCTTATTCTTCCAGAGAAAAGAAAAAAATACAGTTAACAGGGTAGCAACACCAATATGCTTGACATACAACTTAAATGCTCCAGCTAGGAACAGGAGCAGTAGCAGGTGGGGAGTTTGTCTGCCTTTAATTAGCAAAGTTTTTGAACTCAAAAGCTTTTCTGTGGAATCATGCAGGACAGCATCTGGGCAACTTGTTTCTATCCAGCTGGTAACTGCACTTTGCTTTACCACATGCAGCATGATGGATGAGTGCTACGAGGCAACTCTTACCATACAATACGCTGTGGGTTTTCTTACAACACTTTGCCAGATCACCAACCCTTCGTGCCACTGCTCCAGCCTCACTTCTTGAGGAGTCACAGATGATCTTACCTGAAAGGAGCGAAGATGACCAGCGACTTTTACGTAAGTTCCTGGGGGTACCACGATATTCTCACTACCTGCCTCCTTACAGAGAAGGAAAGGAGAAAGTGAGGTTTTGCTGATTCATCCCTCCATTTCTCAATTATCACAATGACCAACTTAAGGACTCTAATCTCAAGCAAACACAAACGACACACGTTCAGACAATCAGTAAGAGCAGTTAGGTAAATGTAACTGCAGATGAAAGATGTTTATTTGAATGCACTGTATGCTTGGCAGCAGTCAATGCCAGTTGTACGTTCTGCTGCTGCTCTGTTCACTGCTGAGGGATTCTCACAGAAGGAGAAGAACCCAAAGCATTTTAAAAACAAACCACACCCACGTCAAGCATTCAAACACTGAACACAGTTGGAGGGGTTCAAGCAGTCACAGAATCTTATGGCAAACCTGTAGATAAGCCAACTGAGAATCTCTTTAATTACTCCTAGAGTTGTTCAGCTGAATGCAGCTGTTCACCTCCAGACACATTTACCAGCAACACAGGCTGTGTGTAACCAGTAGCTCTGTCAACAGGAGAGCACAGTGGAGACCAGCAGCACCACAGGAGCCAGGCACCAGGCAACAAGACAACACACAAACCTCTTCCACTCTCTGGTTTTACATTTCTCACACAAAAGAACAGAGTGCACACCTCTAAGTAACAACTGAGATTAGGCAGCTAGACTGTAAGAAATTGTTTGTTATTTGATGTATGAACTACAGAGTAGAAGATCACAAAAGCACAGAACCACTGATCTTTGCTACTGCAGCATCCAGCCTGGCTCTCACAGGCACAGCACTGCCCCAGCTCTCAGACTGACTGTTTTACATCTCGCAGTGCCTCTCCTCGTAGAAGCACCTCGGAATGGTTTCATTGCTTACATCGGTGTCAACCCACTGCCGCACATCCATGGGCGCTGCTGTCATGTCGTCCACCTTGTACAAGATGTTGGTGGGCGCCTTCTCTGCGTGCCTTACGATGCCAACCACGGTGACCTGCGGCAGGAAGGGCCGTCAGGGGGCGGGGAGAAGCACCCGCAGCCCCTCAGAGCCGCCCCAGTAGGGATGGCAGCGGGTGCCCACCTGTGAGATCTCCACATCGTGGATGCGGAATGCCTCATCCACCTGCTCGGCCGCCAGCAGCTGTGACACGGTGCAGGGCACGATGCTCTGCGAGCGGCTGCGCTGCAGGGGGGCGGGGTGAAGGAGACGCGCTGCGGTCAGCGACAGGCTCGGCTCGGCTCAGCACAGCCCAGCTCGGCTCAGCCCAACACCGCAGCCGCCCGCTCCCCCGGCCCCTTCTGGCCCTACCTGCTTTTTCTCTGCCTGCGCGCCTGTTGGAGAGCTGAAACCTCCCGGGGACTGCGTGTAGCCGCCCGCGGGGCCGTAGCCACCGTCGAAGTTACCTGGGAAAGGAAAGGAAGAGCCGTGAGGGGGGGAGGCGCGCCCGGCGCGCCCAACCCGCCCACCTCCCCGTGCCGCTCCGGCCCGCACCGTGCCCGCCCCACATGGCGGCAGAGCCCAGCTGCGGCAGGACTCGTTCCTCGAGCACGGCGTCCCGCGCCCCGGCAACGTGAGCCAATCACAACCCTCCTTCTTCCAACTGCTTCCGGCGGCGAGAGCCAATCACCGCTCTCTTTCTTCCGACGTCTTCCTGCAGCGAGAGCCAATCACCATCCCCTTTTTTTTCCCCACAGCTTCCGGCGCTGAGAGCCGATTACGGCCCTCCTTGTTCCGACAGCTTCCGGCGGCGGGGATGCCGGCGCCGCCACGCTGGGTGCTGGCGCTGCCCGGCCGCGCTGACGCGATGGGGCGGGGCGGGGCGGGCAGGTGAAGGCGCTGAGACGCGGGAGGCCGGGATGCGGGCGATCGCGCTGCTTCTGCTGCTGTGCCCGCCGGGCCTGGCGGGGCGCTTCTGGCACCTCACAGACCTGCACTGGGACCCCGGCTACGAGGCGGCGATGGCGGCCGGGGAGCGCTGTCCGTCGGGCGGCTCCGAGGCTTCGCCGGGCGGGGGGCTGTGGGGCAGCTACCTGTGCGATGCGCCGTGGGGTTTGCTGAGCTCCGCCGTGTTCGCCATGCGCCGCCTGCTGCCGCAGCCCGACTTCGTGCTCTGGACCGGGTGAGGACCTGGCGACTCTCGTTTTCTCTCTCTTTTTCGTTCGTTTCTCCTAATGCTAAGTCGCTCCAAGAGTAATGCCTCCTATTTATTCCCGTGGAATCGTCTGCAGCTATGAAGAGCGCGACAGCGCTGCATTAAATGAGCAAATTCTCAGCTGTAAAGCGTTATTTTTCAGCATGTTTCTGCCAGCGACGAGCAGGAGATGCGTGCTGTGCTCATAAACATCTGCACCAGTGGAGGTAACCCACTGTTGCTGAAACGTGGAGGAGAAGGACCTGGGGCTGTTGGTGACACTTGGCTGGACGTGAGCCAGCAGGGTGCCCAGGTGGCCAAGGAGCCCAATGGCATCCTGGCTGTGTCCGCAGCAATGCAGCCAGCAGGAGGTGATCATCCCTCTGTGCTGCCACTGCTGGGGCTGCACCTCAGTGCTGTGCTCAGCGCTCGGCCCCTTGCTGCAATAAAGACTTTGAGGCCCTCCAGTGTGCAGAGAGGGGAACGGAGCTGTGAGGGATCTGGAGCACAGGTCTTTGGAAAAGCTTGTCTGGAAGAGGGGTGATGCACTGGCACAGGCTGCCCGAGGGGGTGCTGCTGTCGCTGACCCTGGCTGCTGAAAACATAGAAGTGTCCATACACCAGATTTTGGGGCAGATCTCAGTGATCACTGCCTTGCTGGAGGCATTCATTTGGTTCCTTTTCCGGGGAATAGTTATCCTGCTGTTTTCTTGGATGCAAATGACTTCTGCTTCCCTGCTGTTATCCACTTTTAACCCGAGGTTGCAATATGTTCTCTCTTGCATGATGCCCACTCAGCTGTAGCATGTATTAAACGTGCTGAAATCGGACAAGCCTGCTTCTTGTTCTCTGTTCTCAAAACTGTATAGTTTTGTCAAAGTAGAATAAAACGGAGCAGCTTTTCACTTGGAGCCATTTCCTGATGCTCCTGCAGTGCCTGAGCCAGAGAGCACAGTGCCAGTTCCTACCCCTAAAGCCTTTGACTTTATCTTCTATGAGGGGAAAAAGAAAACAGGGGGCTCAGGCACGTGTTCTGTGCCTTGCTTTGAGCACGTGCCCTGCTGGCCACATATAACAGCTGTGCTGTTTCTGCTTCTCCAGGGATGATACTCCTCATGTTCCCGATGAGCAGCTTGGAGAAGAAAAGGTTCTGCACATCATTGAAAACCTGACCTCTCTGATAAAACAGGTATTTCCAGGTAGGATGTGAGGGAATGAGAAGGGGAGAGAAGTACAGATTTTCATGGAAGATTTTATCTGTATGGAACAATGATAGAATGGGGAAGGGGAAAAGCCCAGAAAGGCTGTGGACAATATGACTTATTTGTCCTCTTCTTAGCTGCTGTATGGTGTGAGGTGTGTCTGAATTGAGGAGTCTGACACACTGTTATTATTTCTGGTTAATGCACTCAGAAGAGAGGAAAATAAACATTTATCTGATTACTCATTTAGGCAGAAAAGCCTGCAAAAATTCTTTCTATTCTATCAATCACAGCAGTGAGGGAAGGAGCGTTATAGGCAGTGAGAGCTCATTAACTGGTCTGTAAAGCCAGTCTCTGGGGTGTCTTGCCCTGAGGAGTCCCATGGCATCTCTGCAGTGCTGTACCTGCACTCAGTGTGGCTGCATGTGGGTGAAACACCTTCACCAAGCTGTTGAGTCACGCTGTTCTTTCTGAGTCATTGGAGAGCTCTGATGATGAGGAACCCTGAAACAAGAACGGACTTCTCCCTTCTGCCTTTCCTCTGTCCTTAGATACTAAAGTCTATGCAGCAGTGGGTAATCATGACTTCCACCCCAAGAATCAGCTTCCAGGGAAGGAGAACAGGATCTACAACCAAACAGCAGAACTGTGGCATTCCTGGTTGAATGAAACTTCCATTCCTCTGTTCAGAGCAGGTATGGCACTGCTGGTGCATGTTAGCAGCACTCTGGAGAGCTGGGGGTGGTTAAGAGAGTACCACAAATAGTTTTCCATGCTTTTATGCTCAGAGCAGCAGTACTTATAGAGGAAAGGTTCAATTAATGCTAATTTACTGTGTTTTTCTGCGTGTGAGAAAAGAAATTTCCTTATGCTTTGGTCTCTCCTGCTTTGTTCAAGTTACAGGTAAGTGTCCCTGCAGAGAATGCAGGGCGATAAGCTTCAGTGGGGAAAAAAAAAACCAACAAAAAAACAGTCTTTTAAGAAGGCTGGAAGGCTGCAGTTGTAGCCCAGCACTGTGACTCTCTACAACTGCCCAGCTCCTGATCTGCATGCTGTGCCTGTCAGCATTCCCTTCACCCTGGGATACCTAAGAAGGACAGGAGACACACAGTGAAGGGTCACACCAGTTCCCCAACCAAGTCTGTTCAGAGCACTGCTGTCACCCTGTGCAGTGACTCTGCTATGGTGATTGCCATGGATAGAGCTGGGAATGCAGAGATCCTGGGTTCCAGCGCTCAGCTGCACCACACCTCCAGCTCTTTCCCTGCTGCTTGCCTTTTGCAGGAGCTTTCTACAGTGAGAAGCTGCCCAGCTCAGATAGCAGGGGGCGAATGATTGTTCTCAATACCAATCTGTACTATGACCAGAACAACCAGACTGCTGGTGAGGAAGATCCCGGAGGGCAATTCCAGTGGCTGGAGGAAACACTGACCAATGCCTCTAAAGCAGAAGAAATGGTATTAAAATAAGATTTTTAAAAACTCAATAACAGTTTGGAAGCTCTTCTTGCTCCTCAGCTCCCCTCTGTGCTGTCACTGCCAGCCGGTGCTTTACAGGAAGTCTGGGCAGCGCATTCAGTGCAGCTCCTCTTTCTTGCAGGTCTATATTGTGGGTCACATCCCTCCGGGCTTCTTTGAGAAGAAACGAGGCAAGCCGTGGTTCCGCAGGGATTTCAATGAGCGATACTTGAAAATTGTGCAGAAGCACCACAGAGTGATTGCTGCCCAGTTCTTTGGACACCATCACACAGACAGCTTCCGCATGTTTTACAGCGATTCAGGTAGCAGTTCTGGCTGCCTTCGTGTTTTCCTGGTATCTCTGCCAACCACCATCACATCACTGTCAATGAGAATTTTCAGTGTCTGCTGGCTGGATGCTGCTGAGAAAGCCTCCCTCCAATTTCCCCTCACATTTCATCTTTTTCAGCCATGCTGCTGGTGCTGCTCTGTGCTGGTGAGCTTTGGACACGAGCTGAGGCAAAAGGGAATGATTACAAATCTTTGCAGTGGGGTTATGTGTGGTGCTCTGGGTGTCCTTCAAGCATGGCTCTCTTGCACACACACTCACCACAAGAGTGTGGCTCCACTGCAGCTTTAGTAAACCTGTTTTTCACTGCAGCAGTCCAACATTCAATCCTTTGTGCTGGTCAGGGATGATTGTTATGTGTGTACTGTTGGAATTAGAGCTGGCTGCTGGCAGTGATGTGTTTATGAGATGAAGCTGAAGCTGAAGTCTGCCATTCATGGTTGCTTTGCCTTTCTGTTAAGGTTCCCCAATCAACGTCATGTTCCTGGCCCCCGGAGTGACCCCCTGGAAAACAACATTACCTGGAGTGAACAATGGAGCCAACAACCCTGGGATCCGAGTGATCGATTACGATGCAGACACCCTTCAGGTGCAGGTAGAGGATCCCCTCCTGCTTTGCACTGCAGTTCTAGAGGAGTATTTTATTCCTTCACAGGCAGAACTATGGGACCCAAGAGGATTTACAGGGAGCGACCTCTAACAGTCTTGTAGTTGGCACAGGGATGCAGTAAGAGCATCAGTGAGTGAAGAAGGCAGGGTGACCAAATGCAGCAGGCGCAGGCCTCTGCTGGGGTGAGTCCCAATGCAGGGCAGCTTGGTTTGACACTTTGACACCTCAACATGCAGGCAGAGTGGATCGCAGGATTTCCTTTTGGGGACTGATGAACTTGTTGAACCCCGTCTAAAAAATCTGAACTCTCTAGAAATTTATTTGGGTTCCCTTTAATTGCTGAATGATTTAATTAGATACTGCTGCTTTGTGGAGGCTCTCACCTAAATCATCTATCCACGGCTTTACGTCTTGCCAGAAGGAAAGCTACACTCCTTCCTGGGCAGGGAGGTGCATTATTTGGTGCAGATCCCATATTCTAAACAAACATTCCACTCCAGGGCCGATCCTTTCTTGGTTTGACTTTGGTTCCATCTCTCTCACCCTGCAGGATGTGGTGACTTACTACCTGAACTTAACTCACGCCAATCTGATGGCCCCAGCATGGGAGGAGGAATACCGGCTGACGAGCGCCTTTCAGGTGCCTGATGGCTCCACACAGTCCATGCAGACCGTGTTGGAAAAGATATCCAAGGATGCAAAGTATCTGCAGCAATATTATGAGTTCAACTCTGTCAAATACGACCTTACCCTGTGTGGGGAGACCTGCCGAGTCGACCACGTTTGTGCCATCAGGGAAATTGATTTTACCAGATACGAGGAGTGCCTTAAAGCCAGCAGCTCTGCTTCTGCCATCGTCAGTGTTTGCCTTTTATTGCTCTCTTTGCTCTTAGGGATCTTTGATCCCCTGCAAACACTGTAACGACTGAGAGCACGAGTGAAGAGAGGACAGCTTCACAGTGCACGGGAATTGGCAGTCATGAATGCTTTTGGAATTGGGGACTTATTTGAAAACCAAGAAATAATCAGTGCTTTGTAGTAAAAGCTCTATGATGTTGATTTGAGCACTTCTAGAAAAGCTTGATGCATCAGAGATGGTTACAAAGCCTTTCTGTACCAGTCTGACCCACATCAGGGAGTTCATCTTCCTTCTGCTGCAACTTCTGAGGCAGCTGCACAAATGAGATGAAGGCCTCCCTGTGAGTTACCCACCCTTAGTGTGAGAGCTGTGAGCTGCCACACGTTCCTGAGGAATCAGAGCGTGCTTCTCTTCTGGAAAATAAAACACAACAGCTGGCCTACAGGGTCTCGTTTTGGTGGCCTTGTACAGCAGCAGCTTTGCCTCTGGTGTGTGAGCAAAGCCAGGCAGTGTCAGAACTTCCTTGGACAGTTTGGGCTGTGACTTTCACGTGTCAGCATCCACAGTGAGGCAGCAGGGTGAGAAGCTTCATGGTTTTTTTTCAGATGCTGAACACAGACGGCTTTCCCCCCAAGCACCTTTGGTGTTCTTTTAACTCACATCTGCTTTTCTTTAGCTGTGCAAACTGCAAAGAAACCCTCCATGCCTCGCCAGCCTTCTGTCTGCTCATGCAAAAACTACACGTGAACCAAAGAAAAGTGACACTGTAGGGCCCTTGGGGATGAGTGGATGAGACAGTGCAGAAATCCTTGTGCTGTCTGTAAGCAGTTGTTTGGAGGCAGCTCCAGAGAAGCAGTAGTGGAACTGTGTTGTGTCAGAGGAGAAGCACGGCCAGGGGAGGCGCAGCCTTGTGCAGAGCTGCAGCTTTGCGGGGGTTGGTGGCACAGCTCGGGGGGATCACAGGAGCAGCGCCTGCGCTCCTCGGCTGTGCTCGGAGTGAGCACTGCTTGCACGGGAAAGGGTGCCGGGGTCTGGAAATGAGCCACTGCATACGGAATGATCTAAAAATCATGGAGAAAAAAAAACAAAACCGCTGGGAAGCACCGCCGGCTGTGCAGCGGATGGGCTTTTTTCTTTCAATGGGGAACCGGGAACCCAAAGGCGGGGCGGGGAGCGGAGCTGCGGGGCGTGGCGGCTCTCGACGCCGGGCGGGGCGGCGCGCCCCGGGATGGCGGTGCGGGGCCCGGCGCGTTTCGGGCCTTGGCAGTGGCTGCTGGCGGCGGGGGGCACGGCGGCGGCGGTGTGGGACGCGGGAGCGGACGTGTGGGTGGCGGTGGGATACGCGCGCGCGGGGCAGCCGGGCTGCGCGGCGCTGGGTTTGGGGCTGTGGGCCGCGGGCTGCGCCGCCCGGCAGGCCTGCAGCTGGCTGTGGTTCCGCTCCGATCCGCCGGCGCTGCGCCCCGAGCCGTCCCGCCGCCTCCTCGCCGCTCTGCACCTCCTGCAGCTCGGCTTCTTGTACAGGTACGGCTCTCCCGAAGCACGGCGTTCCTCCCTCGGGCTGCGGCCCCGCTCTTCCGCCGCGTCCCCGGCTGCGGCGGAGCGGAGCCGCGGTCCCGGAGCGCTGCGTTCGCCGCTGAGCGCGCCGTGCTCCGGCCAGGTGCGTCCGAGCGCTGCGGCTGGGCTGGAGGCTGTGCCGGACGGAGGCGACGGAGGAGGAGAGGAATCACATGGCGTTCCTGACCCACGACATCAGCATGTTGCGTCTCTTCGAGACCTTCCTGGAGAACGCCCCGCAGCTCGCGCTGCTCCTCTACAGCGTCCTGCGCAGCTACAAGGCTGAGCCTTCCCAGGGTGCGGGGCCGGGATGGGGGGTCGGGTTGGGAGGTCGGGGCTCTGCTGCTCTGCTCTGCTGCTCTGCTCTGCTGCTGCTGCGCTCCCACCGCCGTCCCTTTGGCGCTGTGCTGTCCCAGCCCCGTGGGCCCCTGCGGGCTATGCTGGGCCTGCAGGGAACCGAAGCGGGGGGGGGGGGGGGGGACGGGACGTTCTGTCCTTGGGCAAAGTGTGGGCTCCCCTGAGAGCGGCACCAGCTGCTGCTCGGGAAAGGCAGGAAGTGGGAAGTGAGGGGAGGAGAAATGGAGGTGCTGATGCTCAGAGCTCCCGAAGCTGCTGCTTTGCTGATGGGGGGCTCCTTTCAGAGGTGTTCGGGGCTGTTTGGAGCAGGACCAGCCCCAGCTTGGTCTACATTCTCCATGGCTGCTGCTCTGTTGCAGGAATGGGAATCTGCACGGCATTCCTGTGTGTGACCTGGTCCCTGCTGGACTACCACCAGTCCCTGCGCTCCTTCCTGCAGGACAAGTACGAGATGGGCTGGGGCTCCTCCGTCATCTACTTCCTATGGAACCTCTTACTCCTCTGCCCCCGCATCCTGGCGCTCGCCCTCTTTGCCCTGCTGTGGCCCTACGGTGTGGCCGTGCACTTCCCACTGGTGTGGCTGGCGATGTTTCTGTGGGTCAGCCTGCAGGGCACCGATTTCATGGAGTCTCCGGGCCCCGAGCAGCTCTACCGCGCCGTGGTGGCCGTCATCCTCTACTTCAGCTGGTTCAACGTGGCCCCAGGGAGGACCCTGCACCGCAGCATCATCTATCACAGCTTCATCCTGGTGGACAGCACGCTGCTGACCCTGGCCTGGCTCTGGGGCCGTCCCCCTGAGGAGCAGCACCCATTGCTCATCCCGGCGCTGTGGGCTGCGCTGCCCTGCTACCTCCTGGGGCTGCTGCTGCGCGTCACCTACTATGGGTGGCTGCACCCCAACGTGCGAGCACAGCCACGGAGCGGCGGTGATGAGGTGGATGCCAATGGAAGGGCTGATGGGGCCGTGGAGTTCCGCAGCATTTCAGAGCCTTGTGAGCTCCACAGTGTTTCAGAGCCGGTCCTGGTGAACTCCCGGCTGCGGTGCCTCGCACGGAGCCACTTCCCGCTGTCTGTGCTGGCAGAGCCGCACCTGCTGAATGGGACAGCTGCTGTCTGAGCCCTGCACTCCTTGAGATGGAATTGTGCCTTATCTGAGTGGTTTGACTTGTTGGGGACGTTCTGTTTGGTTCTTTCTATTGTGTGCGCCAAGCTGCAGTTTTGGCAGTTCATTGCCACAGCAGGGATGCGGGCAGGAAGGCTCGGAGCTTGGTGCTAGGCCTGCATGGCGCTGTGGCACTGTTGATTCTTGTTATTTATTATTCACCTTTTCCAAAAAAAAGAAAAAAGAAAAAAAAAAAACAACACTTGGTTGTCCATTCATCTTCTGGTGCCCACTGCCAAGGTCATTCCTCCTTGGTCACTCCCTGTTTGGCAGTGGCTGTCAGATGTCTGTTTGCAGTTCTGTTGTTTGACTGTTAAGGCTGAAGGCTGCACAGTACTGAGATGTGGCCCAGAGAGGGGCAGGGAGGGGTGGGACAGTGGGGGTCCTGGCATGGCGGCAGCACTGAGCTGAGCGCCATCAGCAGCCCAGGCTCTGCAGGGGGCTCCCTCAGTGGGGTCCCTCATTGCTGTGAGCAGGGCCTGAGCCCATAACGCTGCACCTCAGCTGCTCTGGGGCTGAAGGGGCAGCAGCTGTGGCACGGGCACCCAGTGCTGGCACTGCAGCTCCTGCCACATTTTGCTGCAGCACCACCCACTGCCACAGCACGGCGGGGGTTGGTGGAGGACTGCCCAGACTGCACGTCTCCAGGGTCACCAGCACAGGGTGAGCGCAGTGCAAAGGGACAGCAGCACTGCAGCACGCAGCTGTGCTGGAAGGAGGGATGCGTGCAAAAGGGAAGAAAAAAAGGAAATATGAAAAGGTGCTGTGTGCCTCAGTACCCAAAAAGCGCCTTGTCCCCGGCCACCACAGCAGGCTCAGAGCCCAGGCAATGACAGCACAGAGAGCGCTGCCCAAGCCAGCACAGCCACAGTGGAGGCTGGGGAGGGACCACAGGGCTGGTGGACAACAGGCAGAAACGGTGACTATAGAAAATAAAAGACTTTATTTTTTTTTCCAGTTCATAGGACAGTTCCCATTACACAGAACGCACGCAGAAGCGGCTGCACCGCAGGCAGCCCTGGGCTTCCCATGTGAGCACAGAAGGGGCTCTGTGAGCTTCCCCGGGACGAGGGCAGTCCCAGGGTCTGTGCAGTCAGTGGTGTGGGATCCTGGTGGGCAGCCAGAAGGAGGCCGCTTCCATTTGGCATTTGTCAGCAGTTCAGCTTACAGCCGGGTTGGGAACAGCAAAGGGACACGAAGCAAATCAGTGGTCGGGTAAAGGCGCTGCCTCTGCTGTGCGAGACAGGAAAACGCGTAAGAGCAGCCAGCAGAGGAAAATAATAAAATCGCCGGGTCAGCCTTTATTAAACAAACACAGAAATGTACCACCGACCTCCTGCTATAAAAGTACTTTACATACATTCAAGGAGACATCGTATAAATATCAGTATGAAATGCCACTGGCTGCAATAGGTCCGCGCTCAGCTACAATTCTGTTGCTGTCCTAAAATTCCCTTAAAACATTTTAAAGTAAACAACCAAAGCAGGGCCTGCTGGCTGCAGTGTGCTCTGTGCCAAGAGAATGGTCTGCCAACCCTGGACCCCCACCCTGGGCTGCAGGAGGCAGTGGCCACATGCTGTGCTGGGAGTAAAGCACAGGAGTGTGCCTGACAGTCAGCAGTCCTGCCAAGGATGGGAGGTGTCAGGGTCAGGCAGGGTGAGGCCCTGGGCAGCTGATGGGGGAGTGGCAGCCAGCCCACAGCAGGGGCTGGGGGCTCTGAGGTGCCTTCGGCCCCAACCATTCTATGGCTCCAGCAGCAAACCATTGCCCTGCACCATCTCCCCCCTCCAGCTCTGCACTCCCGAGGCAGAGGCTTCCTGTGGAGATACGCAGCCCTGGAATGTCCGCTTGTGATCAAAGCACTTGGTTGGCATCTGGCGCTGAGCTGGCGGATAAGCAGATGGCTCTGAGGCCATCTTGGAGAAAGGCAAACTCCTCTGATTTGTATTTATCTTTACAGCCAAAACCAGGGCTGAAACAGAGACCAGGATCCAAGCCACGTACCTTCAGCAGCCCCAGCAGCGGTGAGCAGAGCACAGGGACACACTTCACAGCAGTCCCTTACAGGACAAATCCACGCATGTGCTGAGCCACGCCAGCACCCCCCAGCACTGATGGTCACCTGAGCAGTCCGCATCCTTCCTAAGTCACACTCTGCACCTTTGAGACCGGTCCCCACGGGACACAGCTGGGTGATGCTGGGCTGGAAACAGTCTGGAAGGGTTCGGGTGCAGCTGCAGCGTTTGGCTCAGCAGCAAAGCATCCATCCATCCTCTGAAATCTCAGGCATCTGCTGGTTTGGTGCCATCAGGGGGCACGGGGGGGGGGGGGGCAGACCCCACTGCCTGCAGCCTGACTTGGCACAAAAGCAGCCCCCAGCCTCCAGTTGCCCCTTCTGGTCAGCAGTACTGCAGCTCACTGACTCCAGACTTATTTTCTGAGATGGTAGCAAAAGAATAAAATAAAATAAAATAAATCAGTGTATCCATCACTTCCAAGGCCAGTGTGCTCCAGGCTGGCAAGTCACAGTGTGTTACAGAATTCAGTACCTCCTGCCAAGGACTTTATTTTGGTGCTCACTATGTAGTTAGGCTAATGCAAAGAATACAAGAAAACTGAATCTGATTCTACCAAAGGAAACACATTCTCACAAATGGAGTCAGAAAAGCAGAGGCAGAGATCAGTTCTTTGTAACATCTGTGAGAATTTAGTTCTCTCTCAAATTACTTCCAGTCCAAATGAGGACTCTGTTCAGGTCTCACCACTCTCTTCAATAGTGTTGCACTCTCTGTAAGGTTTGTGGGCAGTTTCATTTTCCCATCCAGGAAAAACCTGTGGGACCTATGGGACACGGACAGCTGGAATCCAATGATCCTCTGCTCATTAACAGGGCTCAGCCATGTGCATCCTACACACACTGCCTAGAAGCCAATGGGAGAAACCAACAGCAACACCTCCCTCTACTAGGAACCACTTATCCCAGAATGGGAAAAATCCTATGTTATAGAAATAATGTAAGGATATCATAATAAATTAACTGCTTTTGAACACCCAGAGAAGGAGAGAGGACACATTTTCACAGCAGCGGAGGTATTTTTGACATTTTCATTAATATTTCCCATGGAAAAAAAAAACAAACAAACAAAAAACAACCAATATCTCTTTTTGGCTTTGCAAAACAAGGGAGGTTCAGCTCTGCCATCAGTTTTTTTCTATAAAAATAAGGTTTTATGTTTACTTGGGTTTCTATAACTAAGCAGAATAGAAAAGCAGAAGTATCAGTAAGAGCCTTCTCAGCTGTGTTACCCCCTCCCTCTGGAGACTACCTGCCAGAAGAATTCAGCTGGATTCCATGAGTCTCTTCACCAGTCAAGCTCTAGCTCTGCTGAGTCTAGTGCTTCTCATAGGACACCTCTGGACTTGGCCAGGTCTGTGCTCCTGAGGAAATGACCTGAAGTCTACTGTACAATTTGCATTAGGTATGTTTTCTTCATCAAGCTGAAAATGTCCCCAGTTGTTTATGAGATCTTTGCCTCCCCAGTGATGGAGAGATTGCAGGAGCCACAGCCACACCTTTGCTCTGGCTTCTTACAGGAAGTCTAACTCAAGGGCTTGGTGAAGGGACACAAGGTCTGCATGGTTTGTGATCCTCCAGAAAGGCATGTTGTGCTGTAACAAGAAGATAAGGTCAGTTTTATTGGGGTGACTTTACAGCTGGGTGGAAGCAGTCAAGGTACACCTGCAGAGCTGGGCAATATAGCATTTGTGACAGCACTGACAGGGCAGCATGTTCAGAAAGGATCTCAGCCACAGAGCACGGCAGTATCTGAAGGTTATCTTATCTGCACAGCTCTCTGTGACAGGCACTGACTGTCAGCTACTTCACACAGTCCCAATGGAAACCTCCACACTGGGCTGCAAGGCGCTGCTCCGCAGAGCAAAGCCTTTCCAGGCCTGCGAGGGAATCCATGCGGACAACAGCTCTGACACGTGGCACAGTGTGAAGCCTGAGAGACGCTGTCCTGACAGCAATCTGTGCTCTTCAGCACCCTTAATTTCTAGTGGATAGCCTGTCCGAATCAGTCAAACTGGCAGTTCCTTCTTATCTGTGGTTCAGACTTAATGGTCAATGCTGTGTATTGAGCTGACTGCTGGCAACACGTCCTGACTCCCTCAGTGCTTCTGAGAAATTGCTTTATCCATGCTATGATCAAGGCATGCCACACCACAATACTGTGTTACAGGGTCAGTTACACAGACTGCAAATATACCAGAACTGCAACCCCAAACAAGAGAAAAACAGAAAATTTAAAGCAGAGAGCCAAATAACTCCTGTGTTAAAATACTGACAGATCCTGCATTAAAGGCAAAGTGTTCCACTCACTGACCCTGGCCTGAAGAAGTAAGCCCTGTAAAGTGTCCTTGAAATAGAGACTGCTACTGTAGCTTCCCTCTGATCAACCCACTGCCCCACATCCACAGAAACCCACCTGCTTAGCTGCAACCTCTTCATCACGCCCATCTCCAATTACCACATAGGTGACTTTCTTTCCAAATCGTGACACAATCCTCTCAAAACAGCTCTCTTTGCCTGCCAAAACACAATCCCACTGTAATGAGCTTTAGGCAGAAACAGCCTGAACAAGCCCTGCTGTCCCAAAAATACATTCTTGTCTTACTGGGATGGGCAGAATGCCCAGTTTAGTTTCTAAGACATGAAGCCATCACTATTAGCAATCATCAGCATCTCCTCAGTCACAAGTGCTGCTCCGCTGTAGAAAGTGTGTTTCCTGTGTTAAAATCCCAGCTAATCCACAGAAAAAATCAGCACCTGAGTGCCAGCTATCCAGCACAGCCCCTTACCTATTTTGGTTGCACTATAAATATTTTCAATGGGAAACACCTCTCCCAATCCATACAGGAGAACTTTGGCAAGAGCTGGCACCAGTTGGGTGGTTGTGATCAGGATGTTCACACAGTTTTTTCTGAAAGTAAAAACAACAAAGAAAGCACTTTTAAAGTCCTGTCAGCAGCCAGTAGTGCTGAAGGCCACTATGGGCAGCTTGCTCAGCTTTCCAAAGGTGCCATCAACTTTGCTGCCCAGCCTCTCTGAGGCTCAGATTTTAATTTTGTTTGCTTATCTACTTCAAACAGATATTCTTCCACAGCAATGCAACTCTCTGAGCACAGTCTTACTCAAAGGACCTTCCTAACACAGGATGTTGTCACAGGAAGGTCTCAAAGGGTGCTCAGCAGTGAAGTTTCTGTGACAAGCAGCACTACAATTACACGTTGGCACTACTGTAACTGGACTAAGTGAGAAGAATTGCTGAGAAAGGAACAGACACGTTTCCACTTTCCATACCTGGACTGTATGAGTAGCAGGGACTTTAATGCAGTTTCCAGCCAAGAATCTGTTAACACTTCTATATCAGTTCTTAGTCGCTGCAGAGCTTCCCTCTTCTGTGGGCTGAGAAGGCCTGGAAAGCAACACGAGTTCTCTCAGCTGAGTTGTTAAGTTTAAGAGAGCCACAGCTCAGTTAACACCTGCCTGTTCTGCCATAGCCAATATCATACTGAAGTCATCTCAAAGTTGTTGTTACAAAGCTGTAACAAGACAACAGGGGAAATCAGCTTCCAGTGACACAAGGGAGCCCTGTGCAGCTCTCAGGACACACGCAATAAAGTGCATTTCTCAAAACACAGAAGTAGGTGTTGTGTGATGCCACTGTGTATCTTTACATACATGAAAAAACTCCACATCTGGGTTTCCCACACATAAAATATGCACAAAGTCTGCTCCCTGCCAGAAATCAGGTAACTGTGGAGCACCGGAATGCAGGCTTATAACCTTCACGGCTGCAAGTAATAGCTGTGATCACCCACTTTTCAGAATGTCCAAGAAAAAGTTGTATCAAGTTTCTTTTACATAGGTTAACGGTACCCAAACCTGAAACCACCAGGCCAAGTCGCCTGGTTCTGCTCCATTTCTCAGGATGTCAGTGCCAAGATTCAAACTAAACAACTTTACTGACATTTGCTATGAAATACAGCCGTGGTTTGCATCTTTATTACTGCTTTGGCATCGGAAGGGAAGCACAAATAGAAATTTTTAGAGTGATTTTGTGAACAGACTTCACAACAGGAGACGTCATGTCAGACCGTAAGCACAGCAGCCAAAAGGGTGAACGTGTAACTTGTTGACAATGGCACAGTAAATGATTTTATGAGACATGTGAAAAGGCCTCCTAAGTGGAGTGATATAGAAGTCATTTAGGCCCATTCTGTGCAGAAATAGGCAGCCTTTCATTCAAAAGTAGCAGAGGGACACTGAGCCAGACCTTTCTATTAGACACAGGATTGACTGACTTCTATCTACTATACGGTAACTCGGTCACTGCACTGCAATGCTGCTCAGTTTTGAAAGATGCATCTTCTTAGATTCCACAGAGACCTGATCTCAGAATGGTTACTTTTCATATTCAAACACTTAGGAAAAGCTACTGTATGGAACTGCTACCAAGAAAGACCAAGTGTGGTGTCACTAACTCTGCACACCCTGGTGCAGGGCAGCACTCACCTCCAACGTTTGTTTTGTATTTATCGTAGATCTCTCGTACCCTGCGGTAACGGAAGGCCAATTTCCTCATCCAGTCCACTCCACCTTGGACACCAACTGATGAACTGTGATTGGCATTGCTTCCTGAGCCACTGAAGCCATCCGTGGAGAAATTGTAGTTGCTGTTAAAGAAAAACTGATTTGTTACGTGTGCTACAGCGTCAGAATCCCTACAAACTTTCTGGCTGGGTTGGAAAAGCACCATGAAGAACTTTGCACAACCACCACTGCACCTCTGACAGAGACCAGCTGCTGTGGGCAGTGTGCACCAACACCCAGCTACACCTGCTGCCAGTCCTGAGCTGCTGTACTGAAATGTATTGATGTATTGAACCCCTCTTGTTCACCCTCCAACACAAAACCTTCCTTTGGTCTTCGCTCTCTTTGATATCAACATTCATCCCACTAGACCTCTTGTTTTGCAGTGATAAATCTCAGCACAGTTTCTTTCTTCCTGACATACAGGCACTTCTCAGACCTTTCCATAAGTCAGTTCTGCTAATGCAACAGAGCACTGATCCACTCTGCCTGAGTGTGTATATGATCAGCTCACACAGGGGTGCAAAACATAGGCAGACTCAAAGGCCAAAATCATCAAGTTTGGAGTGCTAGTTCCACTCATTTCACATGACTAAAAACATAGGTAATATTCAAGTTAGACAATATAATTCACATTGCAATTCCATAAGTCTTAACCTTTCATAGGTCTTAACCTGCCCCCCTCTTATCCTCCCCCCAAAAAACAACCAAGAGGAAAAACAACCACAGAAAACCACCCAGCCAATAAACACCATTTGCCAAATTTCAGCTCCTGCACAATGCTGACCTCCATTCCTTAACCCCATCACAGTTTGGTCCCTTTCTGAAGCCCCACAAAATAAACCAGACTGCATCAGTTCTACATTTCATGCATTCCTCAATACACCACCTTAAATCCTGGCCGTTATCATCAGATGCCACATCTTCTATGTGTACCTGGTCACACTCCTGTTTGAGAGAGGAAAAAAAAAACAAAAGCTGCTGTTGTAATCCAGAAAGATACCAAAATGTGCAGACTGGAAAAGAGAAAGAGATACAACAATCTCCTCACATTTGCCAACAGCAATAAACCAAGCCATACTGCCTCCATGAGCCCAGATACGGCTTCCATTAGCTTTGCCCTCCAGTACTCCCATTAGCTTTGTTTCACTTCCCACTGCCTACAGGCCCTTGTCAAGACTGGGATTTGATGGACCAGAAATGTCCAAAAAAAGGAATTTTCACAACATTTTGTGTTGTCAGCAAAGAAGAAAACTCAATGTTCACTAAACAAGTTGTACTGGAAGTTCACTGCCAGTCTGGAAATCTATTTCTAACCACTCAATTCCAGACTACAGTATAATTTCACACCTCCCCATATAGCTCACAGTACTCTCTTCACCACTATCTAATAATACATCATAGCATAGGATACAGCCATGATTAAAGCAAAGATTTATATTCAACTTCTGTGAAAGTGGTGCAGAACAGAGAGATGTATTTTATTTGGTAAAGACTGGTGTGTGTGAAAGCGAATGGAAGCAGAACAGAAGTCCCTTGAGAAGAAGAGGAATGGGAGAGCAGCAGAGAAAGGCTGTGGGAATAGAGGGGAAGACATCAGTGTGGACAGCCACCTATTGCATGGAAGCACACCTTCACAGCTGTTACACAACCAGCGTGACCTACTGGTATGCTGGCTGAGACTGCAAGTTGTATTCTGCCTCTGGGTTAGACAAAGCCCCAAGTACTGCCATATGGGTCACTCCTTTCTCCACATCTCCATTTCAAAGCAGGAACAGTGAAAGCAAAATGCTTCCTGGTTCAGAATGAAACTGTAACACAAAGCAGGCATCGCTCTTGGTGCTTTAGGCACAAGTAGAACCCATGAGAGCTAGCAAAGCCCACGACACAAAAGTATTCAGGATGCCCCTGTCTCAGACAAAAAGAATACCCCTTTGATTTGGCCATGCTTAGAACCTGTTCAGTTTTGGCAGATTATTACATTTCAGTACTGACTTGATGAGAAGCACATCTGCCCTCACAAACTCTGCAGTGTTTTGTGTCACAAAAACATTTGCTATGTACCTCCAAGTCATTGAAAAACAGGTGAGTATCAGCTACTTCAAAAATCATCTCCTCCATTGAGAGACCTGAGCCAATTACCAGAGTTGGATCCTGGCAAAACAAAAGGAAAGAATGTCAATTCTTTTTCGCCCCCCCAAATTGGCAACAAGTCAGAAGTATCACTTTATGCTCTTAAAACAGAATAACATTTTTCTATTAATTTTACAGAAATTGACATTTAATTCTGCTTTACTAATAACAGATTATTTTTCTTCCACATAAGAGACAGTATTACCTTGCCATATTTTTGAGCATAAGACCCTGTGAGAAGTGAATGGAAAATTATGATGGTCTCATCCAGGTCCCAGAGAAACACTCGCTGCGTAGAGAGTAAAAGCAAGTTAGAGCTGAGATATTCTAAGTATGGTCCTACAATAAAGCAAGCTTTAGGGTTCCTTTTGTGGTTAGTTGAAGATATGAACAACAGTGCTCATCCCACAGGCTAAATGAGTTATTAAACTTTTTCAGTTTAGTATGATGGAGTTTACACACTGAAACAGTGCAACCAAACACACAGGGTAAGACTCCTGATCAAACTTCTTTCTAAGCTTCTCTTGCTTCTATAGTTACAAAAGGAAAAAAAAAACAACAAACCCAAACTGATAATGAACTTTAAAGCATTGCTAGTGTAGAAATTTACTGCCTGTGATGTAGAGAGCACCAGGTAAATGACCTCTGTTAAGATAAATAATGAGGACTGGCTGTCACGATAAACAGTTTCAGCACAGATGGGCTCTGATAAACTTGAGAAGTTAAGCCAAGAGGAACTACAAGACATTCACTAATTGCAGATTCTTCATACGTGGTAGAGTAACCCCTCACAAAGGTCCAAGATGCAAAGTGCTGGATGGCACAGTGGACATCAGGTGCAACATGACTTGCAGCACACTCTACCTGCAGATAAGATGAACTGCAAGCTGATGGAGGAAAGGTAATTCCACTCTGCTTGTCCAGCTGAGCAGCCAGCCAAGGGCTGCTAACACAGTCACCAGCTTAGAGGAGTGCTGAGGGAGTTGTGATGGTTTAAAGACAAAGCAAGAGTGACTTGCTAACTGCCCACAGCTATGTGAAAGGGGAACTGCCAAGATGACGGAGACAAATTCTCCTCTGTAGTGCTGGATGGAAAATTACAATGGAAAAAAAAGGAGGAGGCAAATTGCAGCATGGGAGATTCTGGTTGGAGAAAGAAAATTTTCTGCAGGTGGGTGTGGTGGGACACATTATTAGGTAGGTGCACGATCTGCAACCTAAGAGATTCTCAACACTCGGCTGAACAGAGCCAGTCACCCTGCTCTGGTGATGGGGACAGCCTCACTCCAAGCAGCAGACTGCCTGAGAGACACCCAGATGTCTGCTCCATTGAAACCACTGTGATTCCAAGACATGCTTAAGTGAAACTTGTCAAGAGCCACTGAAAAATTAATCTAGCGCAATTCTCCAATAGCAAGAGTTACAAGGATTTCCTAGATTATCCCCTTTCATTTCCAAACATACAGAAGAAAGAGAGGAGAATATTTAACACCACACCATTCTACAACTCTGCCTGTAGAAAACATCCCCACTTACCTCCAGTTCACTGTCTTGTGAAGAAGAGGTGTCTGCTTTCCTTTTCCCTCTGTTCTTCCCAGGGATATTTTTTCTTGCCTGCTCATCTAACTCTTTACTTGCTGTTGCTCTTGACAATGAGGGACTTGTGGATGCATCTCCTGCAGAAAAAAAAATCAAATAGCACTCATCCTCTGTTTTGTTATTCAATAGCTTATTTTAATACTTTTTGATACCGTATCAGAAACTCTTAGTCTGGAATGAAACTACAAAGGAAAGTATTGAGTAATGTCTGTCCATCCTAGATTTCCCAGGTTTGTCAAATGCCTTTTCTGTGTGGAGCAATCCTATATCAGACATGCTGTTCTCACCTCTGCTGACACTACTCCCTCCTGTTCCACCATAATACAGTGAAACAGCCCAGGTACAGTTATCTACACTATGTTCATCACACACAAACCCACAGAATGGCAACTATAAATCAAAATGCTTACACTACAGCTACACTGCCATGCCCCCACAGATCAATCAATCACAGGAATGCTCTTGGTGCTGGAGACAAAGACTTGGCCAAGCAGCACGGCCACTACTGAAGTATGAATAAACTACAGAGCCTATTCTGCAACTGGTAAGAACTCCTGCCACAGAGAAAGGACTCTAAAATAAATAACTAAGTGTTTTAATGTGCAGAGTACTATGATCACAATGGGAGGTACCCTCTGAATCCTTTACTAACAGTTCAATGAGAAGATTTACTATCCCAGGTGTCTGACTAGTTCAGAAATAGGACTTAGAACTCTATCAGGAATGCAGACAGGCACAGGGTCATCCATGTCTTCACCCAGAGTCACCAGACCAGTTTCTGACCACTGACAAGACAATCTGAAAGAGTTTGAAATCAGCCTGGGTCTCGAGCATGAAGTAATTCATGAAAATTGAGCAATTCTTATGGAAATTCATGTGGAATGGTCAACTCAAAAGTGCTCCTGAACCTAGAAAATGTCACTGAGAATGTTAATGACCATTCCCTGGTCAGTGCCTTGAAATAAGAGGTCACAATCAAATAAAAATAAATTCAGGAGAGTAGGTCTCCTGTTGTTCACCCCAAATAGAGGACAAATACCTCTTGAAAGAGGCAAAACACTTGTAGAACAATGCCTCTTGATTTCCAACATCACAGCGTGCTGTTTGCCACCACCTTCTAGAGCATTCCATAAACAAAAGAGCAGTTTTAAACACTGGCAAGTTCAAGACCATTGATGTGTATGCTTTGCTCACTGGCAGCCAATTATCCTTAATTTCCATCATGCCATGAATTTGAGGACTTGGGAGTGATCAGGTACTACTGATGGACTCTGGGAGGATGGAGAAGGCACCTCTGAATAGTCAGGATCTACCACTAGAAAGGAGAGAGAATTAAGAAAGGCATGCTCACAGTGTGCAAAGGGACACATCACCAAGGAGTGCACAGGATGTAATTGTGTTTGTAGAAACTGAAAGCCAAGTGTGAAACCCACACAATAAGTCTGGTAAAATTCCTTGAGTTCCGTGGCGTGGGCAGTTACATTGGAAGGAGCACTTCTTGGCAGCAGCTGTCTTTCTGGCATCCACTGACAGAGCATATCTAGACACTGAGCTCTGACACATGACAGGAGGCAACACACCCATGGAGCTGCTGTCAGCCCTTCTGCCAGTCACCCTTGGAATGCCCTCTCTCTACAGCACTCTGAGCACCTGGTTTGTGTCTCCTGAATCACAGCAGTGTCAGACTTCCAATATACAAGCCTGGCCGTTCCACCATACAGACTGCCCACGAGTGAGGCAAGCGTGACAATGGAAAACAAGCATCCTGTCCAGGTCAGAACACAAAGGTGCTGCATTTACATTCCGGAATCAAGTTTTCTCCACGTCTGTATACTGCATTGTTTATAACAGATATCTTACAGCCACCCCATTAAAGATGCAACCATTACCAGAGGAATGTCTCTGCACTGTCCGTGTAGGCACCATGGCGTTTGCTTTGTCAGATGGATACGTAGCTGTTGCTAATGCAGAACTCTCCGCGTTGCTGTCTGCTGGTGTTATGACTCCAAAGCCAGAACTTGGGTAACACGTCTGGTACTGACTCTGGCCAAGGATTGTGTACGTAGGATATTCCTATGAGAGGAAAGGATCAGTTACTATAGGGTACTCCTTTCAGACAGCATTATCTATGATGACTTTTATACTAAGTGATGTTTGTCAAAGAGAAACCTCAGCAAGAGCATAGGCTGACTTCATGTTATTTCCTTCTGAACACGTAGGAAATCCCCCAAAAGGACTGAGATACAACTTCCCAATGGCTACACAGCAGGAAGGTTCTGCTCACAGAAGGCCAGAGAACACAGGGCCCTTCCTCTGCCTCCAGTTTCTTCAAAAATAGATTTATGTGAATGATGTGACAGTTACAGGGGAGCACCAAGTCCACTCTGTCTGTCTTCTAGAATTGGTTGCTTTGTCTTGTGATTTACTTGCTGATACGAGATGTAATGACAGTGACAGGGATCAGCCTTGGCACTGGGTCAGCATACAACTCGATCCAAAAGAGGTTAAGTGCCTTTACTCATGTCCTTACATCAGGAAGCAATGTGGTCAATGAAATCAGTCAGGGCACCTGAACTCAAGCAATACCTGAGGATTTTCATTTCTGCTACTGATGTTAACAAAACAGCTACCTCCAAAAGCCATGCCACTCTCCTCTGGCACACTGTGCATTCCCAGTTCCCTGAAGGCACATTCTGGATTTGTGAACTTACATCGGTCTGCATCACCACCCAGGAAAGCCTTTTCCTTAAAGTTCCAAGCAAATTCCTGATAATGAAAGAACCCTGAAAAGTAGCACTGTAAGCATGCAAGTGTTTTGCTTCGGCCCTTGGATTTCCCACAGCTCTTATATCCTCAGTCTGCAAAGCTGAAGGGTTCATTCATCACACCCAAATATTCAGGATGCCAGTTAACTGCTGACTGGATGGAGAACACAGTGCTACCTCTTACAGCAGGTCATGGTGTAAGAGGGAAGGGCTCTGTGTCAGCTTCACAGCTTCTTAATTTTGTTTGACTTTAAGTATCAGAATGTTTATCCCGCTCACTTTTTTGCTTATTTGTGCACAATCTATTTTCCTTCTCTTGCTGTGGGAGAACAAAGGCATTCAAAAGATGTCCAGACATAATCCTCCCTTAGTTTGGTTCTAATAATCGTTATTTTGCTTCTTCTCCAGTGTCTCTCATGGAGGATCTCAGTGCTGTGCTTAAGGCTCCCACACAAACAGCACGTAAGGGAACAGCTACAACAGCTCAAGTAAATTAGCTGCAAAGGCCAGAGGGATCAACAGTGTGGTCAAAGATGCAGCAAAAGTAGTTTTGCTGACTTTGAGTTACAAACAGAAGCCTGCAACTTTAATACTCACTGCATTTCATTTAAAGCAATGCAAATATTTTGCCTTCTTACGTTCGTTTCGAATAACGTGTTAAACAGAAGTGAACAAGATGCTGCACATAAACATAACAAGGAGGAAATTTTACCTGTGAGATGCTGGCTACTGCTGACGTGGAAATATTGACAACAGTTGAGGATGTAGAGACTGGACTGGCATTGGTAGTTGATGCTGTAAAATTAAGAATTACTGCATATATACATGTTTCTGATGGTGTGAGAGACAAGACCGATTCCAGGTGTAAAAATAAGTTCTTACAAGGCCTATATGCATGTAATTGTGCTTCTAGCAGACAAAAAAGTGTTGGGGTGTATCTAGAGACCAGCCGTATTTCCATTGGGCTTAGAGAGGAGGAGAGCTGACACAGTGATCTTCAAAAATGTATGCAGCATTTCAGAAATTTTATCCAAAGCTTCAAAAAAGAAAACATTTTCTTTCCATGCCTGCTATGCAACTGGAGTTCAATTCAGCTTCATACCTTTCTTACAAGTTTTAAGACAACGAAAATCGCATCCTGATATTTAACTATTAGCAATTAGAAATGAATCAGAGTAGACCATGGATATGGATGTATTTAAATCAGTCCTGGTAACAGTGACGTTTCTGCTTCCTCTGGAATTAGTTGGCTTAATTAGATCAAAACAACAGGGAATTCAAATTCAAATTCTAATTCAAATACTATAAAAAGAATGCTTCCTACTAGAAATAAAAACCCCACACCCTATGACACTACATCTAGTTTTTGGAAGAGAGTTCCTGAAAGAATTTGTTACGTAAGACAAATTGTTAGAGACATTAGTTGTTAGCTGAATAGTCTTCGTGTCAATGCAGTCAGCCCTTCTAAAACACAGAGAGGCAGCCAGAGCACCTTCTGGGAACAAGAGTCACTTAGCACATTTTATGGTTTTACAGCTATAGGGCCACACCATTAAACACTACTCCACACAGGGCTTCAGTAACCTCAAGATCAGTGGAAAGAAATCCTGAAATCAGCACGAACAAAGCCAGCATGTACTAAATCAAGGGTCACCAAGGAATATCTTGTGCTAAACCTTCTTTCTCTGCACACAAACAAAACCAGCAACAGTCAGACATTTAGGAAAAGGCTTGCAGAAATCCAAAGTATCACCTACTGTATTACCACTAAAAGAAAAGCTTTTCTGCAAATCACATCCATGCAGAATTCAACCCAAGACTGAAGTATTTGAGGTCCTGAAGGCTTCAGTCTTTCCATCCTAAGGAAGCTGCAAAGGGATAAAGACCCCACCACAAACTCTTTATCAAGAGTTTCATACATTGCAAACCCAGGTGAACAGCTGGTGAACAGCTCCAGGAAAGAGGAACAGACCCACAGCTCAAAAAAGATGAAAAACAAAAGCAATGTATCTTAAAAGAGGTGCAGCAATAAAAAGTATGAGAGGTGGGAAATGTGGACAGGTCTTTCTGCAGAAGCATAAATGAAGGCAAGTAATGAAGGCCTTGGGAATCCCATCAAAGATAGGAGCAACAGTGTTCAAAAAAACAAGAGGAAGGAAGTTTTGGAGGGTGAACATTTAGAAAAAGGGAGAAAGGCTGCACTGAACAGCAATAATGGCAATGAAAACACTCAAGTGCAAACATGAGTTTGCACTCATATGCAGCAATGTTTGCAAACATATGCAGCTACCAGAAGCAGCAGTGGATACCCCTCATAAGCAGCTGCTGAAGAGCAGGGGACAGTTTCCAAACTGTATGTGATACCGAAACAGTGAGAACCTGAAAAAAACCGAGGGCGCTGTGAAGAGCAGCCTTCCAGAAAAGCTCCTCCCCAACACAGAGTGAAGCTCCCAGGAAGCCGGAGGAGATGAACTGCTGAGAAGCCAGAATCATTCTACAGCTTCTCATCCGTAGTGCTCTCAAGAGGCTGCTTAGCCACTGGGATGGATAGTGCAAGGTATCACAGAAAAGAGCTTCCAAGAGCTGTGACTGCTAAAACACAGCCTCCCCACAATCAACTTTGTTGTTTACCTTATAAACTCTGGTCTCATTCCAAGATTCCTTCTTGAATTATCCCTTATCTATACAAAACAACAGATCAGTTCTTTACAAACAGCTCTCACTGCCCTGATCACACCCTTTATTCTGCACTGTGGGTCTGCCCCTTTACCTGCACATGGGCCAAAACCACACAAAGATGTTTGACACGGCTGTGCCACAAGAACTATTCATGACCATTTCACAACCTCAGTTTTCACAGACCTGCGAGCACCTGTGCCTTGAAGCTGCCACGTCTCTTTCTCTTCTCTCTTCTCTTTTTCTCCCCCACTTGCTGGGAAGGGAAATGGTGATTAATGCATTTTACATTTCACTTGGCTGCTTTGCTCACATGGGAAGAAGAGGCTGGGCAAGCAGGAGCCGCGTCACTTCCAGCACTTCATGGAGCCTCTGCCACTGCCACCACTACCACAGCTTGCACAGTTGCTACCAAAAGCAACATTCTTAGCCACTAAATGCACCTGACACATCACCAGGGTTTAAATATCATGTAAACCCAATTAAGAGTTAGTCTGCAGGCTACACCATACTGGTCACGCACCGCAAAACGTTTCTGCTGGGCCAGCAGCACCATACAGCAGTGTATCACCCTACTGCCTTGTTTGGAGAGAAACAATTAAAAGCCTACCAGCAAATCAACTTCAGCTCCTGCTCTCCAGCACAGATCGGGTGTTTTTACATAATTCTAAAGAGCCGACTGAAGAGAAATTCTCCATGTTACATAACATGAGGCTGCTATGTCACATCCTTACAGGAGAACAGCTCAAGTATTTCAACACCCTGACCAGGGCTCCCTGCTGCTTCATTTATTCCCTACCTGTTTTCTGTGGTACATCAGCTGGCAAACTTATTCAGGGTCACCTCATGCAGAACTGTTTTTGACAAACTCCTCTTTGTGATTAAGACCAATGCTATAAAACATTACAATTTATTCTGCCCAAAGGAGAGCTGTATTTAAAGGATGGTCGTATTTCATAGAATCAGACTGGCTTGGGTCAGAAGGGACATCAAAGATGATGCAGCCCCAAATCCTGCTGTGGGCTGGCTGCCAACAGCCAGATCAAGCTCTAGATCAGGCTCCCCAGGACCCATCCATGGCCCTGAGCACCTCCAGGGATGAAGCACCCATCTGGGCAACAGTGTCAGCATCTCACAGCCCTGATATTTAACCTAAATCCCCCCTCTTTTAGTTGAAAACCATTCCGGCTTGTCCTATCACTATTAGACCATGTAAAAAGTCACTCCCCTCCTATTCAGAAGCTCTTTTCAAGAGCCCCCTCTTCTCCAGGCTGAACATCCCCAGCTTCCTCAGCCTTTCTCCATAGCAGAGTAGCTCCTGCCCTCTGAGTGTCCTTATGCTCTCCTCCAGACCCTCTCCAACAGATCCACATCTTTCTTGTGCAGGAGGCTCCAGACCTGGATGCAGCATTCCAGCCAGATGGGGCCTCATGAGGGCAGAGCAGAGGGTAAATCCTCCCTGCCTGCTGCCACCCCTCTGCTGACTCAGCTCAGGGTACTGTTGACCTTCCAGGCTGCAAGCACACACTGCTGGCTCATGTCCAGCTGTTTCCCACCAGAACCCTCAAGTCCTTCTCCTAAGGGCTGCTCTCAATGAGCTCTTCTACCAGTCAGTACTTACATCTGGGATTGCCCAGACCCAAGTGCAGCACCTTGCACTTGACCTTGTTGAACCTCATTAGGTTTACAAAGATCCACCTTTCAAGCTTGGTCAGGTCCCTCTGGATGACATCCTTTCTTTTTTCTTATCAACTGCACCACTCAACTTGGTGTCATCTTGTATTTCTAATCTTAAACCACAAATTTGAAGTCTGTTAAGAATAAGCATTACACTGGGCTATCTACTGTTGCAATGAGTCAAGATTGAGCAAGTACCACAACATTCCATATGTCTTTTCTATTTGCAAAATCCATGCTAAAACCTCTTTATTACTTAACTACTCTCCTCTACTCATTACACCACATCTGGATGCGACATTCAGTTTGGGGCCTCAAACAGATGACAAATGTTGATAAACTTGAGCAGGTCTGGCACAGAGTCACCAAAATGGTGAGGGAGCTGAAGCACACACCCTGCAAGAGAAGGCTGTACAGCAGAGTCAAGCTTGAAGCCCCATAAAGTCAGATAAACGGAACCAAATTCATACTGTATTCATTAAGATCTATGTTAGGGGAACCTTTAAGCCTAGCAGAGCTTGTTAGCTGCATCTGTAAGCTACAATATTATTCTTTGCATTATATGGCTTCTCCTATACCCACTCTTTAGTTTCTTGATGTTACCGTGCTGTTTTGCTTCACTGTTGACCCAAACTTTGCAGAACTGATCATTTCATTCTCTGTTGGTAGCCCACAGTCTGCACGTTCATTAAGCTCCTCCAGAGCCAGAACAGTGTTATATGGAAAAGGAATAACATCACCTTCACTGGGGGGATAAACTGAAGGAACAAATCTCTCTACTTCTGGGAAATCATCCTCAGGCAAGGCTGTTGGTGCTGCAGAGATGGTTTCAGTGGGGTCTGATATCAGCCTGCCACATAGAAAATAAGTTACCAAGAGGAAAGTCAGGTTCTTTATGCAGGTGTACAGCAGGAGAAGAGAAATGGTCACAACATAAAGGGAGAGATGCCCTGACCTGCCAGAGGTAATAATTTCACCATCAAGATAGTCACTCGAGGAGATTTCATCACCATATTTTGGAAATCTGTGAAATCCAAATGGAGAAACCCAAAAGCCCTGAGCAACCTGCTCTGAATTCCGTGCCAGCTGTTCCTCAAGCAGGAGGATGAACCAAAGATCCCTGAAGTCTCAGAATTACACACCTGACGTCACAAAGATTAAGAATCCTTGAACTGCTTTCTAAACATCACAGAGAGGAATTTTCATAATTCATCATCCATGCACAAGTGGCAAAAATTCAAGTCTAAAACAAATAGCTATTTGCATGTATTTGCCACAAGCAACAGAATATCATTACTCAGCTATATAGCCTATCTACATCTAAAAACTGCTTTGGAAGCTGGTGAAATTCAGCACGTGGTTTCTTAGATATGACACTTCTGGCACTGGGAGTTATCTGTAGGCCAGTTCTGTAATTACAAATTCACTTCCTAGCAGATCTACCAAGCTGGAGGCCTGACACAGCAACACAAGCAATGTATCTGTGGGGGGGGTGTAAGCTGTGTGTGTGTGTATCGTACATGAGCCCTCTACTTCCAGACATAACAACAACAAAATCCAGTCTCCGCCAGTATATTTAGTGACTTCAAGCTAAAATCTACCAACAAAGAGCTGCAAGAACATTCCCAGTAAACACATGCAAAAGAACACAACATTTAGACTCCTTTCCCCATTCCATTTGCTCTTCACCCTGTGAAGTCCATCAGCATGGCACCAACAAGCCAGCCTGGTGCATACAGAGGTACACAGCAAATACAAAACCAAACAAGCACACACAAATAGAAAAGAGACAAAGCATAAAGAAGCATGCACAAACCAAGAACAAACGTGCAAGCCTCTCTATTTGTGGTACTCAATCAGGTGGAGAGAGATGCAGATAAAAACCATGCCAAGTTACCTTCAACGGAATAAGAATAACGTGCTGGGCTGGGCTGGCTTGTGGTTAACCCTGTAGTGCAGGTAAGAACACTGTGCTGACTTGTAGATGGAGTCTGAATTAAACCACTTTCAGGTTTCATACCTGGCCACAGTGCACCTAAATCAGATAAATTGGACCAGTTATAAATAAACATGCTGGGACCAAACAGCACGCTGCTACCTCAGAGTAAGACTTTTGCTTGTGACAAAAGCAAGGAACAAATCACACATGAAAATGTTTACTTTCTGCAATAAAAAGTCCTGATTGTCAAGCAGCACATGGATTAGGGCTGCTGACAAAACTTGCTGAAAAAAGAAAATTAAAAACACCAACAAGACCAACCTCCAAAGCTATCAAATAAAAATCCATTAGTGTAACAGTAAGGCTCACTGCCACGTAGGTAGGAAGGAACTGCTGATCCCGGAGCAGCCAGCATGGAGCAAAGCTGGGGTTGGAATTTACTGATGTCAACATCTGTACTCCTTTACTAAGTTTGGGGTCAAATACTTAAAAACAAGCTAAAAGTCAGTCCTTTTCATAGGCTGAACATGAGGAAAAATAGAGCTCAAAGGAAAAAAAGACCACAGAGTTTCCTCTTTCTGTCATTCTAGAATCACTCATGCCCATTCATGGCAATACTGACCAAAGGACATGCAGCAGTGTCATTTTTAATTCCTATGCATGAGGCACACACAGGCACTGTGGTTTCAGTTCAGGTGCTACATTAAGGTCCATTCTGCTATGCTGGCAGCAATGACAACAGTGCCTGACCTCAGGAACTCACCAAGGTCTGATTCTTCTGGGCTCCCCAGGTTTGTTTTCGTAAAAGCTGTTTCTGAACTCAAATTTCATTTATTTCCTTTGTTTCTTGCAATTGTAAGTATTGGAGTCTAAAAGCTGACTGCTAAAGATTGAAGAGGCTACAGCTCTTCCACCCTCCTGGACAAAGATCTGCTTATGGGAAGCAGGAAAAACTCCCTTTGAAATGAGATACTCCATTTTCAAGAAGGGGTAGAAGAGAATTACATTCAGTCTTTTAACAGCATGACTGACAGAAGGGTGCTGAGAACCATCATTTAATCACATTTATGACTCAAATTATCAACTCAGAGTACATAATACAGCCAGCAGTTAAAGTTGCTGCAATCCCCAGTGCAAGAAATCTAACCAGCTGGGGTTAATCAATACCTAGTTAAAGGCACTTCTTTCTGACCTGCAGTAAAAAAGCAGGAATTAGTTGGGAAGATCTACTTAGAAAGAAGAAGGAATGCACAAAGCTGAGGGACAAAGGCCACCTGGAGCTAGAAACAATGTTCAGGGCCAGCAGAAAGATGACCTTCCATCTCAAAACCTATTCAACCTTGGGAGGGGTGTAAAAAAAATTAAACAGGCACCTGTGAGTCATATGAAGTCACTCATCTGTATGGTCTTTCAGGGTTTTGATTCCTGTTCATTATGGTTTTAAATCTTGAAAGCCATGATAATTAGCAAATAATAGTGAAAGAATTATTTAAGGAAGATTGCAGACATACTGCAGAAACTGCAGGGCAAATATATGGGAAACAGATCTAAGGAGAGCAAAAGGTGTGGTATTTTTAAGTAGCTTTTGGAGAAGACAGTAACCAACAGTTCCTTACAGTGCAAGATCAGTGGAAAGCAGCAGAGAACACCAAAATCAGACAGTCACAGAGCATACCAACGTGCCCACCCACTGTGATAGTGAAACACAAACAACACTGGAACGCTGCAGGACAATTATCACACAAGGAGTGTAAAGCCAGATCAGATAAAAGTGTCAGAGGTGCCCACAGGGTTGGCTGTAGGTGCAGCAGCTAGCTCAGGCATCTTCCAACCCCAGCCTTCCACGGCTGCCTTGCTCAGCGAGGCACACCTGGCCCTGGTGATGCACGTCCTTCCCTGCTGTTCTGCAGCAGCACAGCTTCCAGGATGACACGGAGCATAAGGGAGCACAAAACCCCCCCACATCAGATGGCAGCACTGCAGCCGAGGCAGAGGAATGTCACAGAACACGTGTATGGAGACAGAAAGGCCCCACAGGACAGATCACCACCTGTATGTTCTGCTCGAGTCCATGTAAACCATCACATCTACAGTGCTTCTAACCCAACTAAAAGCCACAAGGCTTGTATGTCATCACTCCTGTTTTAATATTGGTTTTCACAACTATGTTCTATACATAACAGTGCACTAAGTGTCAGAAAAAATATTACAGCACAAGGAAAAGAGTCAAATAGGCATCCTATATTTTATATATGTTCATATTTATATACATAGGCCATCTCTTCTCTGAAAGCAGCACCCTGAACCGAGTGTTTGACAGCTGGCTTGAATTTCATACATAAAACACTTCTGCTTTGCTCCTAATCCATGATGTCTTCTTTTTGGCATAGAATAAAACCCACAATAAGAAGAGATGCAAACCTTGGGTTTGCTGGTAAAATATCTAATCAATCTAGTCAATCCAGTCAAGTTCTCACATTGTCAAATACTGGGAGTAGAAACATAATTAGACTTTCCTTAGCACTGCACATGGTTAGTCCTGCACCATCCACACGGTCCGTCCATCTTCCCAGTATGATGACACAGGTACTATTCCAGTATGATTCCATTACTGGAAATGTGCCTTCTAGCACTTCTGTAAGACTTGAATTTAGACTAAAAATTCAGGTACTTAATAATAGTCCACAAAATCCTTACCAAAACATTTCAGTAAGTGAATTGATTGCATTTCAGAAGAAGTTTAATGGACGAAAGTTGCTATGAAGTCAACAGAAAATGCTTATCTCTTGCCTAGGTCTCCAGAAGATACTCTGAATGCAACAGTAGAAATTAACAGTTAAACACCTAATTACAGAAAAAAAAAAGGTAACAAAAAAAGTCACAGTAACCAACATCCACCACCAACAAAACATCACAGAACCCAAATGAAAAACCCTAAAATACAAAATACAAAACTCTAAAAACTCAGAGTCTAAAAATATAATAACTCTAATAACTCAGAGTCTAAAATACCCTTATAAAACATCTTGACCTAAAACTTCAAATGAGCGTTTCCAGTATTTCCCACTGGAAACCAACAACCACTGCCAAATGCCTTCAAACGAACCTTCAAAGCAGCCACAGTGCACTGCCCAAAGCAAACCACCAATAAACACCAACCTGGGGAAGGAAATGAAACTACCAGCCACTGTTTAGATGCACTAAAGAGACTGAAAGTGGGGTGCAGGCAGCAGGAATGAAACGTGCTTTCCAATGCCTGCTATGGGCTGGGTCAGGCACGCTGTCAGCAGCAGAGCATCTGGCACCACCCAACACTACCATGGCACAAACAAGACAAGGAGGGTTTAGAAACATAGCAGACCACCTGCCCTAGCTACCCTGCAGGTTACACCCTGCAAAGTTTCTTTCTGATGGCATTCAAGCAGTTAGAATAATGTATTAATACAGCACAAATTTGATTTGGGAGATATTGTGCAAGTAAACCCTTGCGGTCCCATCATTCTATTCCTAAGGATGCCCTCAAGCACAAACAGAAAAAACACCTTTCTGATAATAAAATGAGAAAGAAAAGGAGGAAAAAAGGTGCATGCATCAGTTTTACATGTTGACCACACTTGAAAAGGTAACAATTTGTGCTAAATCACATAGTAATGTAACTTATGTCTAATAAGAATGAGACCAGTTGCATCTGTTTTTCCACATCATCTTCCAAAAATAACACAACAAATTAATTGCTTTGTAATATATATATATATATATATATATATATATATGGTTCTGTTATATGTAAAATTAATTGCTCTGTCAGTGCCTAACCAGCCATACCTGCTTAGGACACAAAGGCATTTAGTTCTCCAACGAAGGAAAACTCATCCTTTTACAGTCTGATACCCTAAGATTTTAGCACTGAAGACAATTTGGCACGAGGCTCTGTTAATTTAGCTAGGAAACATGACTACAAATCCCCAAGACAAACATTTCATGGCTATCTCATACCTGACAATCCACTGTGTTACCTGCATAGAAGGTGATGTGCTGTCCTCTCTCACAATAAAGCAGGCACTGAGGGGCAAAACCGCCTGTGCTACCATACGTACCAAGGAAGCACATGGTGAACAGCTCAAACCTTGTCATCAAGCTTTGGATTTTCAGTTACAACAGGACTCTTCCCCTGCAAGCTTTTACAAAAGCTGCCATGGCTAATAGAGAGCTCAACTATCAGAGCAGCTTAAGCAAACTCACAGGCTGAGAAAACTCGGTGACATTTTTGCATGAAATCTGCATTTGGTGAAACGTGAGGTAACAGAAGTCTTAATCTTAGCCAACAAAAAGGAAAAGAAAAATATATTCAAGAAAAGATGCTCTAGTATGGGGCCTTCTGTGATCTGCACAAACAGAGCCATACCGTAACTGGAGAAAATGATGGCCCTAAACTAAGAAGCATTCAGCAAGCTGCATGGCTACATTCAAATTACTGTCCAGAAAAGCAATTTTGTTAAATAAAAAACAAAAAAGGTCTTACAAGATGAAGTTTCATCTAGAGATGGCTCATACTAAACCACAGTTATTGCCACTGACATACACCTTTCCATCGCTTCACACAGATCTACAATTTAAGCTGGGTTGTGCTCTCCTCTATGTGCTTCTCTCCAACACACCTGGTTTATCTTCCTATTTGCTTTTTAAAGAGACGTAAGAAAGTAACTGCAGGCACTGAGAAATCTTTGCAAATGTATTTCTTACCAAAAGGAGGTAGTCCATAGGTTTGGGTGGTCTGGGGGTAGATGGTGTAGGGCTGAGATTGCTGTAGTGCTTGGTACTGAGTCTGACCAGGGTAAGGGCTCATTGTTTCGGATACAGGTACAGAAAGGATATGTGCATATGGCCTGATTAAAAGAGGGAAGAAAAATTACACACAAACAAACCAACATAACTTTTCACATATGCAGTTTTCAGCCTCCCAAGCCAGAAGACGCATTATTAAATTGCTTTAGAAAGAAGAAACAATCCTCAATTACTGGAACTGCGAGGGCAGGGGGAGCGGGGCCAAAGGAACTCCATGTTCCAACAGGCATGAGCAGTTAGTTTCACCTATGGTGCCTTACAGCAGCAAATCCTAAAGCTAGCAGAATACAGTGGTGTCAGAACTAATGGAACAGACTATACAAAAACAAACACAGGAGATTTAGGCCTCCTGTACCATGCAATGAGAAAACATTTTATGATGCTCAAATACAGTGATTGGTAACATCTTACACTCCTTTTATACGCTTGTTTATCTCTCAAATGCTATTCAACAAGATCACTCCATTGTTAATTAATTGAAGAGGTCTATTTATCCTTGGAATCATTAGATAATGGCCACTGAAGCTGAAGGATGACTTCCATTAAGCTCAGTGTGCACAGCAGTGAGTGCCTGCTGCATAGCAGATAGGGGAGTGTGGTCAGAGTAATTAAAGAAATACATAATGATATGGAAAGATTACTTCAGAAAGGAGCTACTGAATTTTGTAACAGTTGTTCAACTTACTTTGCAGAATACATCTGTGAGGTATAATCATTTGATGACCTTGGGATATAGTCAGTGCATGTCATAACTGGAAAAAGAAAGTTTATATGATTACACAGATTTCCCAAACCAACAACTAACGTCAGTTAATTACCTGCACACTCACATGATTTTCACCAACACAAGAAGGTTTTTTAGTGCCTTGGATATCTGTCTTAAAGTAAATTCTCAAAACCCACAGCATTAAACCACATCAAAAACGTTCTTGCCAATTCACTGCATATAATGCAATGCTTCCATTTTTCTGTTTGAATAAATCCACAGCAATCACACCCTAGAACGGATAAGAGAGAGTCACTCAGGCTGCACAACCTGAGTTCAAACTCATCTCAGATACCTCATGAGATAGGTAACAATACAGCACTGGGGTGCTTGAGTTGGTACGACTTAACCCAGCAGCCACTGCAGCATCCAGAATTCAGATGAGCAGACCTGATAAACACTGAGCTGTCCATCAGACCAGGAAAGTGAGAATATGTAGGGCCTCCAGCACAGAACCTGGCACCATACAGGCCCTTGTGGCACGTCAGCTCATAAAATACTATGGTGCAGTGATCTCCAAGCTAAACAATAAGTCTGACAGTAAGTCTGCAGAGTACATGAGTTTAACAGTTCTGACCCACAAGCACCATAGACAAATTCTTAGCAAACACAGCTGTGCTGCTTATGGATCCACGTAACTTATATAATTTGCAATTTGCTTAGCCAGATAGGCAGCAGATTTGCAGGCTAAAATTCCTGGTAACTTCTTCAACTGCATTGCAGCACACTGATTAAAATAGCAGATATGCAATCAGTTAGCAATGGGAAGTTGTATGGTATATATTTTTAATCAGGTTGAACTGATTTACAGTTATAAGTAACTGTAGACAGTCAGAAATATTCTGCACAGGACTCTTACTTCCATAATAACCTCCAGCCCTGCTTTTCCAGTGAGAACAGATTCCACCTCTCTCTTACTATGCAATATTTTTAATTTTCTGCCTCAGTTCCCTCCCAAAGTACTTTGTAAGTAATTTCTGCAAACATTATATATAGTTCAGTCTAAAATTAAACATACAGTGTATTATTAGAAAAGACCCAACCAGCTGTGTAGAGATGATGATAAAACTGAAATCTTTCTAACTGGCATCATTATTAATTCAACCCTTCCCCAAAGGAAAATAACAGACATGTAAGACACAGCAGTAACCAACTGCAAGTTTGGGGACAGTAATGGAAAAGTAGATAGGAAATGGTGTTTGCTTACCATCACACATGCAGGCATTAATGCTTTGTAAGCACCACAGCAAACCTTCGCCTTACAAATGATAGCATGGACAAATTTTAAAGAGGGGATGAAGTCTGCACTTCAATGATGAAACACAAAAGTGATGAGATCAGCAGCAGAAATGAGGAGAGCAGACGGATTCCGAAAGATACTTACTCTCAGTTGACATGGAAAGGTTTGAACCAAGGCTTGAAGATTCAGGTTTCTGATCGCTGACTTCGGTGTTGCTCACATGACTGCTAGAACAAACAAACCTAAATATCAGCACTGTGAACCTCTGCATTAACATCCTTTGTTATCTTAACCCCCACTTCAGCCTTCTGCACTGAGAGAAACTGACTTTTAACAAAAACTAGCTCTGCACACTTTAATATGTCACACAGAGAACCTAAGAGAGAGATCTGCAGCTCTGATCATACATGAAACAGCCATTCAGCATGTTAACTCACCAGCTCATCTCTTCATATGAAGCTGCAGCCCAGCAGCAGACCTAGCAGCTTGGCACTGCCATCTGCAGTGTGAAGCACAAATTTCTTTCCTCCCACCTGGACATGGCCTCCTGCTTCTCTGCAGTACCTCAGACACCCACCAGGCTCTTCCATGGAGGTTTAATTTGCTGAATGAGCAGAAAAAATTGTGGGGGTGCTTTTGCTTCATTCACCCACCCCAGGGATGTGACCTCCACCTGCCCTGCTCCTTGCAGGTGGCTTTCAGGTGAAACCCTGGGGCCAGCAAGGCAGTGCTGGGCAGAGTGTGGGGATGGAAGAGCTGAGCAGTGAGTGCTGTTGATTTAGTCTCATGCATGTCGTTTTCCTTCCTATGGCTGGGGAAAAGGAATGAAGTTTGCTCAAAATGCATGAACTGGTTTTTCTCCCCTCTGAAAACATTCATAACCAGACTCTGTGAAAACCTTTTTTCAGTGCTAGTAGGTGAACAGACTTCATTAGAACATTTTGAGTTTTGCAATTAAAAAACCTCACATTTCAGTAAAGACTCAGAGCATTCATCTACTGCACTTCTTGTGGGATAAAAGTCCTGTGATTCCGTGACACAGTTAACCTGTGGCTGTCAAATTCCGTACAGCTTGCAAATAGGCTGAGAGCTGTACAGCTACTTCTACTTACCACTTGTTGTGGAAAATGTGACAGCAGATAAAATTCCTGGTTATACTCTATCAGCCCTTGTTTCTTCTAGCTTTCTCAGTGTTACTCCTCAACGCACACAACTGTGCTTTGGTACAAATTCATCCCAAGCACTCTTGTTCTCCATCACTTACCACCTACGAGAGCAGAGGCACCCCTAGGCTGGGCTCCTCTCACCTTACGCTGGCTGGAAATGCAGCTTCCAGCAGTTTCTAACATTCAGGTGGTGAGTTTCACACTGCTCACTGCTTCTTGTCAAAGCATTCCCTTCATTATTCTTTGTTTAATAATCATGTAACTACTAATGTAATTCAGGGCTTCCATTACATGAATGCATGAATGGCACACTGTGCTTACTCCTCACCCACACTGAGATGTCAGAGGATCCAAAAAGAAATCTTTATTTAGTTTTTGCTGTTACTCACAAGACAAGAATAAATCCAAATACAGACATCCTCTCTACATGAAATCGCAGTGATTAGCTCCTAAACCAAACACACATCAGACAGCCTCTACTGAGCACAACTAGTACAACACAGCAGCTTTAAACAAAAGCAGCTATCAGACTGAGAGCTCTCTACTTCTCAAAACAGTCACCTGCACAGTTTATCTGAGAATCATAGCAGAGAGATTACTAAAATATTCTGAGTCTCATCAGAATGCACGTTACGTGCAGAACGTGACAGCCTCATAAGATTCTGAGGAAAAAGATGATGCTTGATGATGTAATCAAAACTCTACTTTTTATAATGGCTTAATACCAAAGGGTTGCTTAATTTATTTTTTTTATAGCCAACACAAATCTGGGTTCTATTTGCCCCATCTCTCTGACAAATACAGCAATACACAGGCTGCTAAAACGGGAGCTTATAATGACATGAGAGCAGCAGTAATTGCTCCTAAGATAAAATTCAAAGTGACATACCTTAAGCTTTGCTCTCGGGATTCCTGCATCTTGGCTTTTTTCACCTGCAAAGACAGAAATGTTCAGAGGCACAACTAAAAGAGCTGTCCTTGGCAGAATCCACACACACCTCCAGCAGCACATCACCAGTGGTTACTATAGAGTTTGCACGAGTGCTGAAAAGAAAGCCTGGCATTGAACTGCACAGCTAACCAGTGTAACCATGGGCTCTTCAACTCAAAACAAGTCTCAATTAGAAAAAATGTTTGAAAGGGGAAAGGAAAGAAAGGGGAAAGGGTGGAAAACAGCTTCTGAGCCTCAGGTCAGAAGCGCAGTTGTACTTTTATAGTCAGGATCAAAGCAGAAGCACCATTTTCTTCATGCTGTCATGGCAGCAGTTGCTCTGTGACAGAATTCCACACTCAGACTCATTCACAGACAAATTTCTGAGTGAAAAGCACACCCAGCAACCAAGCAGATGATGAGCTGCTGAAGCAAACACGACCAAAGCAATGGCAGCATTGTTGCCTGCAGCAATGCTGTGAAGAGAGGACTGTACACCAGTCAGGAATGTGGAGTTTAACTGCCATCCCTGTGGTAATTTGAGTTGGGAAAAACCTACAGTCCAAACACCTGACAGCCATTTGTCCTCTGTCCTTTTGGCAATGCTGGGTCTCCCTGGGGCCCTTCCCACCTCTGGGTTCTCCCCATCATTTGCCCCATATGAGAACTCATTCCAAACAGAAATCAACTCTGTGGGTGTCTGCAATGCATGTAATACAAGCTCACCAGCCCTTACAAAAAGACTTCTGTCATTTTCTGGCAATTAGGATTAAATTAAGTATTGCATCAAATGAGAGATTACTACAAGAGATCACTTCTAAAAGCTAAATAATAGCACTTTTAAAACTTTTTTGTCATACAAAAGGTCACTTTTTGGTCACTTTTCTCCAAACTTTCCTTTGCTCTCGTAATTCCCATGTCTGTGTCAACACACTGAGTCTTACACATACTTTTCCATTTTAAACTGAGATCTGGAAGGGGAAAAAACATCCAAAAGCAAGGACAAAAGGCTCGCCTGTTTAGCATCCCTGCAGCAGTATGTGCACTAAATGGAGGGAGTAAATTGCATTTAACTCCAAGTCTGATGACTTCCCTACAGGCTCCCTTCCAGACTCAGGACCATTATTGGGAAAAGAAAAATCATTTGAGAAAGAAAGCAAGTTTGTGCAGTATCAACTCTGGGTTTCAAAGCTGAAAAGATGATACCACATCATACAGCTGTGATCAGTACAGTCTTAAATTCTGTCTCAGAATGCCTGAGCAGCAAAAGGTACCTACCTGAAATTAGCAAGAAAACCTTCAGCAGACAAAGTGTCTGCTTAAGGGTAATGCTCTCACGTGCCAAAAGCAAGCTGTGCTCCATCTCTTATACTCCAAATAATAAAGGTTTATAAAGACAATTTTGGTTATGTAAAGACGTAATAACAGATATTTCCTTTTTTAATTTAAGTTTAAATCCTGCAGACATTTAGACTTCAAATTGTAAGTTGCTGCTGATTAGCCTCACGTTTTGTGCACAGACACTCAGAATAATTTGCATGCTGTGTCAAGCAGTGTAACTTTAATAATTTACCTTCACATCATACCACAGTAATCACCATCCCAAACACAACTTATCAGATGTTATAAAATCAGCATTTTTTAATGTGGACAGCGTTGCAAATATCTAATAACTCCAGATAGCAATTCCTATCTTAAGATATACCTCCCTCTGTCAATGCCCTGTTCAATTAAGGACTTTAAATACTGTTCTCCAGCAGTAGATACAATGGCACGCTGAGGGTCGTGGAACCTTTCCAAGACCTTAAGCACAAGAAGTATTACAGACTATTTACGTGGTAACAGCCAGCACGTGGATTCTGTCATTAAAACAGTGATTTTGAATTTCTTCTAGGATTATAAATGGTCTGGCTTTTCAGCAAAACAGATAATTTTACATAGAAACACTACAGAGTTTAGGCACACATTCCTTTTATTACTGTTTTACTAACAGACAGCCTTACTGTCCATTATTAAATAAAATAACTGCATACTGAATTTGTGAGATCACTGATTGTTTTTACATGCTCATCTTCAGTATGATTTAAATGTACTTACTGGTTGCTCGGGTAAATCTTGTGGCTCTTCCATGGGTATTATTATTTTAATGCTTGAATGATTCAAATCGTGTCCTCCTCGGCAGTCTTCAAAGCCTGTCAAGAAAAGGTGTCCATAGCTTTATGTACTTTTGGGGGGACTTATCATTTAGGCTATCAGAGAATGATAATTGTTATATATTCCACCCACAAGCCTTCTAAACTCGTGTTGCCATCTCCCAACTAAGAGACAAAATTCATATACGGAAAGATTTCATAAACAAGGGATTTAGCTTTAAGCTTCAACTTACAGACATTTTTCATCACGTGGCACATTTCTACATCACTTGCTTGTACCATACTGACCACAGAAGCTAACGTGTCAATGAGACACGTGCTTAAAGACACTTTAAATGATCGAGACTGGTCTACTAGGTCAGTAAACAGAGTGATTCAATCTAACCTGTTTTAATTTAGAACATTTATATAACGAACACACACACACCAAAAAAAAAAAAGAAAATCAGGACAAGAGCGTACACCTAAATGTATTTACACACAGCACTGCTTATTGTCAGCTTCACAAAGAAAGCTCATTATTCCAACTGCATCCCTCAAAAAAGATGCGTTTGATGAGCATGTGGTTCCAAAAAGTAACAGACAGTAACCCAGTCACATTTAGCACAGAGTTCCTATGTACTGCACCAAAAAGTTGCTGTAAGCAAGGTTTTATATCCAAGAAAATACAATTTTGCAGGTTGCTGTCATCATTTTATCAACTTTTTGCTACTTGCTGGACAACAGATGGAGGCATGCATCCTCCCCAGCTCTGCCAGACCAGCTCACTGACCAGCTGACCACATTTTGTCTTCTGGGATCCCATCTCCCCAGAGCCCACCCAGCACAGCTGTCCCTCCATGGGCATTATGTGTGTTATGGCACACACAGCAAGTCCTGCATGGGTTACAGCAGTTAGAGGAAAAGCAGAAAAACCCTCAGTGGTTCGGAAGAAATAATCAAATACAGCAACAGCACCTGCAATTCCTCTGCTGAGTTACAATCTATTCCTGCCTCCAGAGCCACAGAAACGTTGCCATGTACCTCGGTGGGAACACGGAAGGCTGTTAATAAATCCCTATTATCCATGGAAACACAATGCATTTCTTTTCCCTTACAAAAGGAAAGGTAAAAGATCTTAAATGCCAGGTAAAACTGCACTGAGGGTTTGAGTATTTTCCAAGGCCATCTCCCATAATTAAGGGTTACTTATAATTATCTTCACTGCCTTAAGTGGGAAATGACTGAATTTGCACCAAAGCATTTCAGTAACTCCATATCTTCTCCAACAACACCTTACAACACCTTACTTACAAGAAAGTATGCAAAACAAAGGGATACTGTCACCATTCCAATTTTCACCCTCAGTGAAAATCAGTTTTAACCATTAACTACTTGAAATACAAAAACCCATTTCCTTCTACTTTATTTCTTTTTAATAGAGATAATACAGGAAACTCAAGATACAAGAGAGGCTGTGGCATTCAAAAGTTATAACTCCAAGTGTGGAATACAAATGCCAAC